GTGGGTTCCCTGATCCACATAAGGTCAGCGATTGCCTGTGTGAAAGCTTGGCAGGCCCTGGCAAGGCTCTGCTAATATTTGGGTAAAGTTTTTTATTGCCCGTAAGCATGTAAGAGAAAAAAAGCCCCACTGGACCACATCTCCGGCGTCGGACATCAAGACTAGTATCAGGTTGACAGGACACCATGGATTTCGGACCAAAAAAAATCCGTCAAAGGCTTACCATGAAGGTTGTCTCATGCTCTGCACCTACAACGCCAAGACACCCTTAACCAACGCCAATCTCACGCCTTTCTCGAAGCTCCAGGGCGCATGAACTACCACGTAATCGCCTTGCAAGAAATGAAGTTCAGGAAGACGGACAAAAGGTAGGTGAGTGATCACACTCATCATTCGTGGTGAAAAATCAATAACGGAACTTTGGAGGCGTTTGTCGTATACCCACTTGCTGTCTATCTTGTCGATTCGCATGAGATCCTATCACCTCGCCAGGCCTTCTCTCGACTCTGTCTTCTGCATCAGAAAACCACCACTATCATCAAGTGCTATTCTTACATCCGTAGCTGATAATTCCGTACTTGATGTTTTTTATGGATTTGGAGGAAAACTCCTTTCATAAGTTCGTCGTGGGTGACTTCAATGCGAAAATCGGAATGCCAGAAGAAGTGGAGCACAGGATCGGGAGATTTGGATCAGGACTCCGGAATGAGAATGATAACCTTCTTGTTGGGCTTTTATCCGCCGAACGACTTTCTCATACCAACTCACTTTTAGGAAGAACACCGGCGGTGGACATGGGAGTCACCCAACGTACGACTCTTGCGGAGCGAAGCGAAGGCGGTGCTTGTTACCCGTCTCAGTGGTACCATAGTTCAGCAGTAGTTCGGATCATCGCCTCCTTCGAGCAAAAGTGCGATTCAGCCGAAAGCTGGAAGAGAAGATTTGTCACCGTGTAGGAGGAAGGAGAGAAGTTTGTATGACGGTGTCAAATTGGAGGAGCTCGTGAACTTGTGGCTGACTCATTGAGGAGGATCCATCGAAGGACTGCGATCTGCTTCTTAGGGAATTGAGGGCCTGTGGAGAAAGTGCTTCAATGTCTGGAACAAGGATCTGCTAGAGAGAGAAGAGCACTGAGCTGGGTCCGACTGCATTACATCTCGTGCGACGTAGCCAATACGTTGCAGAACAGCTTTGCAAGAATATCTTCGAAGTACCAATCGAGATTTGGAAGAAGCACAAGGAAGGTGGAGTTTGAAGGAGTACCGTAGGGACTTTCTCGACTATCGTGTTCCGCAAGATTAACGAAGACGGGACTTGCACATCTTCCCGACAAAAGATGGAATCAATCACGAAGAGATTTTACACCATTCTCTTCCGCTCGTCAGCACCCGTGTCAAACCCCGTTATTCCCACTGGAGAAATACCACCACGGATGCTACCTGCTGGGAGTGCCGCAATCCACTCCATGAAAGCAGAAACTGCTCCGTGACCGGACCATGTTCCGGCCGACCTCTTACGAGCTGGGGGACGAGATACTTGCGGTACATCTAAAGTCCCATTTTCAGAAGGAAAGAATCCCCGACCAGTGGAGAACCTTCCAATCCTTCAACAAGGGCGATAGGGAAGATCTTTGGAACTACCATGCAATATGCCTTCTGAGCGTGCTTTAGAAGTTTTTTACTCGAAGATTATTCTCGCCCGCATATCAAAGACACTGGATGAGACCCAAACTGTAGAACAAGCTGAATTATGCAGGGGAGTCAGCTGCGTGGATCACATCCAGAGAGTTTCGAAAATTATCACGATTTACGGAGAGCATCGCTACCTCTCGTTCTAATCTTCGTCGCTATGAGAAAGCGTTTGACAACTTCGACACTAATGCCATACTGTCAGCACTCGTCGTCCAAGCGGTGGACCCATCTTAGGTGAGGACAATGGTCGACTGCTACAAAAACTGCTCTACAACGGTACAGCTTTTCCTCGCCCCCTCAACATACCAGTTTCAAGAGGGTTGACAAGACGTTGCCGTTTCGGCAACCTTCGCACTGCGTTGGGTGATAAAATCACTGGATTAGAAAGAGAGAGGTATACGAGTTGATGGGAGATTCCTCTTCTTCGTTTTGCGGGACATGTTCTCTTTTCGAAGAATATCACAAGCAGAGACGACGTTGAAAGAACTGAACGAAGTAGGGAAGCGGAAAGGCCTGCGAAACAACCGGAGGAAGACTGAGTTTATGAAGAACGTTTTCTGCGAAAACCAAATGGAATTAGAAGGCTTTCTAATCGCAGAGGCGCCTTCTCACGAGATTCGATGAACATGGGAAACGATTCGAAAGAAGAACGAAACAGAAGGCGAAGAGCAGCTTGGGCCGCCCTCGGGCCTCTAAAGGAAGCCACAGACCAGCTGACGGACACAGAGCTCCGAGCCCACCTGTTCGATTCAACTGCTCTCCCTGCGCTCTGCTACGCAGCAGAGACGTGGCC